TACATTTAATGAAATATAAATTTATTGTGACAACATTAGTTTTAGAGACAGTTTGTTTTAAATGACAAAATTGCATTGAAACGCAATTATTTATTATTCAATAAGTGCATTTACAGAAAGAAGCCCTTAAATATTTTCCTTCATCATGTTGTCTTATCTTGCAGGTTTATACGTGAACAAGCAAGCGACATTCACGATAGATACGAGGGACATCGCCAAATCGAAGACAGATGACGGTAAGGTGTCGTGCACCATAAGCAACCCCAGTGGTGGAAAGACCGAGAAGCTCATCATCCCTCAGGGTGATGGCACTTATCGCGTCAGCTACACGCCTTTCGAGGAGGGCTGCCACACCATTGACATTCTCTACGACAACGTGCCTATCCCAGGTTCGCCCTTCTCCGTGAACGTGCAACGCGGCTCTGATCCCAGCAAGTGTCGAGCGTATGGTCCCGGACTGGAAAAAGGCATCGTGAACAAAATGAACCGCTTCACGGTAGAAACCAAAGGTTTGTAAGTCAATATTTCGATCGGATAAATTTTAATTATTTTTCGATATAAAATAAATATTTTCGTCGAAAAAAAAAAATGAAAATTAATGAATGAAACGATTTTCTTTCAGAGGCTGGCAACGGCGGCTTGGGTCTCTCGATCACTGGTGAAGGAGACGTCAAGGCCGAAGCCAAGGATAATTATGACGGTTCCTGCACCGTCGAGTACGTTCCTACGGAACCCGGCGACTACGAGATCGGCATCAAGTTCGCCGAGCAGAATATACCTGGTTCGCCGTTCAAAATCGAGGTGGTGTCGGACTCGGAAGCGAGGAACGTGATCGCTTACGGGCCCGGTTTACAACCCAACATGGTACGCGACGGTGTACCCGCCAAGTTCACTGTAGACACGTCGAAGTGTACGAAAGCGGCGCCATTCGATGTCAGATTGTCGACCGACAAAGGACAAACGCAAAAGCCGCAGATCAAGAGCAAAGGCGACGGTCTATACGAGGTGACGTATCAACCACCGCCCGCCGGAAGTAACCTGCACGTCGGCGTAACCTACGACGGCGAGGACATCAAGGGCAGTCCGTATAAGATAAAAGTTCTGCCCACCGTCGAGCCCAGCAAGGTGACACTGTCGGGTCCCGGCGTGTCGCCCGTTTGCACCGCTTCCTTCCCTACTGATTTTGTCGTGGACACTTCCGAGGCTGGGTACGGCGATCTCGAAGTTCAAGTTGTGGTGAGTAACACTACTAATTAAACACGTTCTGTATTGATACTGTACAATTTAAATATACAACAAAGTGCACTTGCACAAATAACTATTATATGATTAAAAATAATAATTTATAATTGAATATTACCAGATGTCAGAGATTTTTAATATATTAAAACTTTGTATAACACAAGTATTTTTAAATTATATTAAAAATTTTATAATTTTTTTTACATATATTTTTTTCTATTAAATGTATAATTTTTTCGAATTTTTTTAAAACTTGTTTTTTTTTTTAATTATTTGAAAGCCTACGATAATAATTACGGAAGCTGATGATGAGCTGTTGCAAGGAAACAGTCCTCCGACACCTTGAAACGTTTAAGAAAAATTGAACACCTTCTGGAATCAAATTGCAATCCTTTTAGAGAAAGAAGATCGTTTTTATTATTTAAAAAATTATTTTAATCTCAATTTGTGCAAATCTTTATTTACTGATTTATCATATTTACTGATTTCACTGATTTATGATATTAGCAATACAGTAAAAGAATAAACTTCTTTTCTTATAAAAAATTGTATATTATTATATTATTTTTTAATGTTTTTTATGAATTAAAATATATTACATATGAAAAATAGCAGTCAAAATTTAATAATCCTTTATATCTGGTCTCTTATTCATTTAATTATTTCATTCATTCATTTAATTATTTCATTCATTCATTTAATTATTTCATTCCTTTAATTATTTAATTCCTTTAATTATTTCATTAATTAATTCATTTAATTTAGTATTATCATTATTTAAATATAGTATTCAATGTTATTATTTAAAAAAAATAATAAGAGCGTTTAATACATGTGCCAATTAAAAAAAAATGTTATATATATTGTTATGGCCTTTTATTTTTTTAAAATAATTTTTTTAAATAAGTTTTTATATATATACCCATATGCCTACACATACACATATTATACATATGCGATGCATATTTATATTAGCATATACATATAGAGGAAATAAAATATAATTCATAATATATTAATTACATAATATAAATTTTAAAAATTAATTCTAAAATAATATTAAATTAAATTAAAAACATTATATTTTGTATTGTTTTTATTTAAAAAGATTATATTTCACTAAATTTCACCAATATTACCAAAATAAAAGTTGATCTATCATCTTGAAAGATTTCTCAAATTATTTTGGTACCAGTACCTATTTGGTACCTATCAGAATTTTTCTTTGCTTTGCAAAAAATCACTATACATATACAAACATACAACAGAAAGAAGGGAGATCGTATTTACACATTCATAATGTGTCAGAGTACATGTGATTCTTTCTAGACAAACAAATATATCGATTGTCAAGCGCCGATTAAATGATTAATAAATTGCAATTTTATAATTGACGATTCCTTGAATTGTTTCAGGGTCCGGACCAAGTGCCGCGCAGAGTCGAAGTGCAGGACCTCGGTGATGGTAAATATAAGGCGACCTATCTGCCGGATGACTGCGGCCGCTACAAGGTCAACGTGAAATACGGCGGTAAGGAAGTGCCAGGCAGCCCGGTGAACGTGCAAAGTGTTTCCACCGGCAAAGCGGATCAGTGTAAGATCAAAGAGGGCATTCAGCACACTTTGGCTCAGGGTGAGGAGTATTGCATCACTGTGGATACCGAAAATGCAGGCCGCGGTGCAGTGACCTGCCGCATCCGCTCCACTTCCGGAAGGTAAGCACTTCGGGCCCGATTTAAATCCGGTTATTTCCGAAGAAATGAGTCAGAGTAGCAGGAGATACTGCGAAGGACATTAAAATTTATTTTCGCAGAAACGTTATAATCATATGAAAAAGATTTTTTAATTCATTATTACATAGCGTGTGTTATACGACATATACGTATTTTTGAAAATTTTTACCGATTTAATTGTGATTGACACATAAAAATTATTTCTTTTACACAAAAATATTGTGTAATATTTATCTACACAATATTTTATTTCGGAAATATTTCGTTATTTATTTAATTTTAATTTTGTGTGTGTCTCTAATATATGTGTCTGATTTTTGCAAACAAAATTGATGATTTATAAGAAATTATGCTTATTTATGAGATACATTTTGACATGTCAAATGTTCATTTTAATATGTTTATGTTTGAATTATTCTACTCGCTAATAACTATATCTTTCATGAGTTATAACTTTTATATCAAATTGCTCTTATGTGAGAGCATATTTTTACCGCATTTTTTACACTTGTGTTTTTCAATCTTCGAAAGATTCCAGACAAAAATTCCATCTTATTTTAAATACGTCGCGCCATCGCGCTCAATTTATTTTTAATTCATAGGTGAATTTTCAAGAGAAATTCTTTTACTATGCTTCTCTTTTTTGAATAAGTATTAAACAAAGTAAGTACAAGAAGTTATTTGCTTATTGTTATACAATTTTATAATGCAGTAGTAATAATCATATATCAGTAAGTATCTTATTCATTTCTTCTATTTTTTCATATAGTTATCATTATCATTAACCTAGTTTTTTAAATAATAAATCAAATATTTTCGAAACTTTCTCGCTGCGGTTTCAAGTTAAGAATTGTGACAAATTATAGAACTTATTATGCCGATAAACAATTATAATTATATTTATAACAGGATGTTTTTGTATGGAGTTTTGTATACAAAGCGATTAATAACGGTAAATCGAGATTAGTATTTAGAGTGTAAAGATGTTAATGACTACTCGGTCGTAAATCTTGTAACAAATTCGGGAGAATCAGGATCATGGCATGTTGCCATTACGAACGTCATGTACGAGGGAATAACACGTCTGTGGTTCGTTGCGTATCTCCGGATAGTTGTACGCAATATCCACATTGATTACTATACTATAACTTTGAAATTAAATGTCAGTTTGATTTCATTCGAGAAAAAATATCTAAGATTAATTATCTAACAATAAGATAAATATTTAAGATTATTTATCTTTATATTTAATATTTTTAATAAAACTTGGTATATCTCGACAAAAAATGCCAAGTTGAATAATTATTTTAAAAAAAATTAAAATTTTACAATTTTAACAGTATATATAGAAATCATTTTTCAGCAATAATCGATTGTTGATAGTATTTATAGAATTCTTTTCGCGCAACAATAATTTTTCGGAAATACAGATATATATTTTATTATTACTTCTCATAACATTTTATATATACTTTTATATACTTAATATTTATTTAATTAATTTTTATTTTATTTCATTTATGTGTTTATTATATTCTTATTATCGTATATACTTAAAGTCACGAAAATTGAAATTTTGCTACATTTTATTTAATTCTCTCTGAAATATATATATTAATTAACAAAGCACATGATGCAGTTTAATACAATAGTTTATCTTACATCATACTAGTTTTAATTAAGTAGGTTAGATGAACTAGATAGTCTTCTAATTAGTACAGTTGATGCCAAACTATAAATCATTTTACATTCTTTTTTTTGAAAAGCAGACATTGGAATTTTGCCGTAAAGTAATTTGCTTTGACCGTAAAGGTATTTGTTTGTTAATTTATGTCATAGCAGTTCCAAAATATTTTTATATAGTAAAAGTAGAAAGTAGATCTATCAATTAAAAAATTCATGACATTGACGAGATATAATTAAATTATTTTCAACACATTATTAGCGTAAAATCAGAAATGATAAATCACATAATGATATAAAATAACTTAAGTTATTTACTATCTACTTAATATTTCTTGTTGTGAAATTTGTTTATCGCAATGTCAAATTGGAAACAGCATAGTAGTGTTATGCATTCGTACGATTATATCCTTCGTGATCGTATTTCGGGATCTCTAGAGAGACTTGCACTTAGTATCCTACTTATATATATTCGTGCATAACATTCACTTAAAACCAATGTATTCGTTTTGCAAAAATTTGTTACAGCTAATCTAATCGACTATAAAAGCATTCTGAACGATGACAGAATAGCACGCACAGCTGCTATCTCATAATTCATCGTATTATCCTGCGTTGTTCAAGTTGGCAGTAAGTGTTTTCTGTCAAGAAGATATTGCAGAACGGGCCAAATTTTTTATCAGATGTATACGGGATGACAAAATGCCACATGCCGTTAGTCCCCTATAATAAATATCACTTTCAAACTATTTTATGTAAGACAATGTTCTGTGACAAATAGTTGTTTATATTTTAAAATAGAACATGATAACATTTGTTGAAAATAGATTTTGTCATTTTTTTATATTATTTATCAACATTTTCAACAAATACAAAAATATTTTTCTAAAAAAACAAATAACAACAAAATTTTTAAAGTTTTGTAATTGTTTACGAATTTAACGAATTTCGAAAAAACTTGCAGACAATATATCAAATGTCGGAGCTGATTTAATGAGTTACATATACATTACCTTAACACAAATTAATAATTTATCAGTAGATTTATGGTTTTTTGCATAAAAAAATACTTGTCAATTCAATTAAAATATATGAGTGACAATATATTTTTTTTACAAAATATATTTTTATAAATATATTTAAATATATTTTTACAAATTATAACTTTAAAATATTTTAATTCTGTGAAAACTTAAATTTTATATTTGAGGATATAGAAAACATTTTATTTTCATTTAATTTATTTGTAAAAATATTTTATATAACAAAATTCTTATGTTATTTAAAATTCAGAACAAATCAAATATAATTAAGAAATTAACTATAAGAAATTATCAAAGTATTCGCATGATTTATTGTTGAATGAAATTGCAGCGCAACGTTACGAAAATTTACTCGAAAATTTCTTGAATGGATTGTTCTATATATTTTAATCCGTGAATAATACGTCTCGGTCTGTGATTTCAGCGAAGTCGTTGACATTGACATAGAGGACAACGGCGATGGCACAGTTAACATTTACTATACTGTCGCCGATGCCGGAGATTATACCTTCAGCATCAAATTTGGCGGACAACCGGTGCCTGATGGATTCTACACCTTCACGGTAATTATCTTCAAATATTTTAAATTTTGTATAATTTATTATTACTATTTATGCGAAATAAGATTTTGCAAAATTCTTTATCCCATAGCGTTATCATATATGTATTTAACATTAATTATTAAATCTTTTATTAAATTAATTTTTTAAACTTTCTTGAAAACTTCTTGCTGTTTTATACTTACATTATATGTATTATACGAAAGAACTTCTATAAGTAGAACATTCAAATTTCCTCTCGTTTATTTATACCACAAAATGTCTTAGTAAATGTGTACCGAGTTAATTTCTGCATCTGCAATGATATATGGAATAATTATATGAAACTAGACCGTGAAGCATGCGCTAATGAAAGTGCTGTATCTTACTACTACTTGACAAAATCTTTTCTTTTATTATCTGTTTTTAGGCTATAATGCACTATATAATTATATTCAATAATTATAAAATAATATAAGTTAATTAAACATAAAAAATGATATAATGCTATAAAATATATCTACTAATTGCGAATGCTCTGGAAAATTCATATTACATGTACAAAAGAGGGAGGATGTAAATTTCACACAGAAAGTGGATGTATAAAAAATTATGCATATTTATTTAGCAGATTTTTAACGCAAACCTGGAGAATCGATCTTAAAATATTGCTTTTTAATTACTTGATAATTCATGGCAAGAAAAAATCTGTTTTTATCCTTCAATGTGAGCCTCGACTCTTTTCGATGAATCGCGAGACGAAGACTGATGATGCATGAACAGCAGCATGTGTATCCTCCTCGTAATCACGTCTTCTCGATACCGATCCGGATGCCCGGTGCTCTCATCGACGAGCTCCGGGGTGAGTGGGGCGCGAGGTGTATCTAACTATAGAGGCAACACGTAGTGCAGGATATTGTCGCGTAGTCTCCAGAGAAACAGTCCACTGCGAAGGCTCATCGGGACCGCATCCGCCGGCTCGTAATCGCACGGATCCTCGCTCATCACCCTCGTGGACCCCGAATCGCGAATTCCTCTCCAAGTAACATTCACGCGCGCACACACGCATATATATCTGTCTTGGAGTATGTATATATCCCTCCCAATCTCACGTGCATGGACTTCCTCTAACTACGTGTGTATATGCATGCCCGTGTGTGCGCACGCGTGTGAGTGCTTTCGTCATCAAGTGGTCCAAAGTGCCTCCGATCGCAAGTGCTGGAACCATGACTAAAAGCCGAAAGCTATGAAGAAATCTTATTGATTCACGCTATTTTATTCCAACTCTTGTCGAATATCTATTTTTTTAATATCAGAAATTTCTTCCTAATTTTATATTCTAAATATATATAAATATAGGATTAAATTAATATTTTGATTACAAAGATATGCTGTCTGGCCATTCAGTTCTTTCTACTGATGAAACAAAAGTAGATAAACATTATTTTATAAATCAATCTTTTTACTCCTTTAATAGAGATCAGTAGAAATACACAAATGTGGTCAGACGTTGTTCGACTTTTTTCTGTCGGTAGAGGAAAACTAATATAACTTGACATTTCTCTCACTTTCTCTCCATATATAAAGTTTCGAAAATTTTCTGATATCTTTCTGTTATTTTTATAGAATTTTGATCACTTTTTATCTTCTTTTATTTCGAGGTCCGATTATTTCGCCGCGAAGCAAAGTGCTACGAAGTATAGAACAGTGCAGTAAAAGCCGGTGATATAAATGCTTGCATATTCATGCGGTCGCTTCAATTTGTGATGCTTATCTAATTGGTCTACTAAATTTAAACGTTCGAGAAAAATTATTATTTCAAAATACTTTCTTTTATATTGATTGAATAAAATATTTGTGCTGTTTTCGATTGTTGTAAGTGTGTGTAATTCAAACAAGTCGTATTATTATTAAAAATAATTGGAAAAGTTAAGTTAAATAAATTTGTCACATTTCCTTTACATTTCATTATATTATATATTTAACAATAGTTTTAATAATAGTTTTTCAGAACAATATTTTGTTTAATTATATTTGGAAGTAAAAATAATAATTAAATAATATTACTTTAAAATATAGAAAAACTCAAATGAATTGTATTACATTGTTTTGCAATTCAAGGTTGATAGAAAGAATTTAAGATAATCAGAGTAAAGAGTATAATGTGTTTTACAAGAAATTTATTTTAATGCATCGTTTATTTTGTTGTATGCATAGAATGACAGAGAGAGAGAGAGAGAGAGAGAGAGAGAGAGAGAGAGAGAGAGATCATATCACGCATTTTAATTCTCTTCATGACTACGCGCGCATAAATAATATCTCGGAATGTACGACGTGCCTAGTGATCGCTCTATTGTAAGATATGACATTTAGTAAGATGTCCATACCGTTGGGGTATCGATTGTATTCTGGAAATTAAAGCTGTGATCCAATTTGAAATCCAATCCGTGTTTCGTCGCCGTCCATCTTTTAGCGAGAGCTCCTAGACTATTTCGAGTGCGACTCAGGCTTTCCCAAATTTATAAGCAGGAATGGAGTGGGTGGCCGAGAGAGAGACGAATGAATTAATACCACGAGTTAAATTAAACCACGTGCCACGATTCACAAAGACAGCTTTATACGACATGTTCCTTTCATTGACTCACGTCGATAATTATCATTATTTCTCGCTTTTGTCCCAGAATCGCTCTTAAAAATCAACTTTTTAAATAATTTTCGCGATTATTTATGATCAAAGATTGTTGAAATTGCCTATTTTTTTTTTTGCTTATCGAAGAAAAATTGGTTAGTTTATTTTATTATTACTAATGCGATTATGTCATAACCCGAAAAACAGTGATACACACTTGGAGTGTTTATGTGATAACTGCATAAATAAAACATTCCGTAGGAGAGGTTTGTGAATCTCTTGCTTTAATGTCAGTTTAATATAGCTGAACTGTAGTCATAAACAAAACGTAATATTATATTTGGAATTTATCCAAGTGTACTGTCGTTTCCCGTATATAATTGCGTATTTAAAATTTCTCATAAACTTTTTTATTACATATATTTAAAATATTACTAACTGCATATCAATTTCTCTCATTATTTATTTCATTATAATATATAATTAAGCATTGTAATTATATACAAAGCTTATAATTTATAATTGTTAATCTTTTAAAAGTTATATTTATTTATTACATTTTTAATTATATTAATTTTTAATCGGTTATTAAATTAATTTAATTTTTATATCAATTAAATTATTTAAGAATCAGTCCAGCAATTCTTTCTATTCCGTAGAAATCCTACAAATATAATCTTATAAACTCTTATAATTTGAAAATCGATTTTTAGTATAACACCTTTATCGGCTCATCAGCTGTCACTTATCGATTTACAATTATAAATATTTATATCGCGTGTCCTCGTCGCGATTATGTGCATTCTTAATTCTTTTGTAATGTGGATGAGTGGGGGCTAGGTATCTATTATGGTACATGAAATTGAGCATTGTGCCCGGAATTACCGGTTGGATACCAGTGAGGCGCGAGTTTCGTGTCGGCCACCAACGTAGAACGTTTCCTTGTAAATCGGTGAAAGGTGACAGCTGGTTGTTAGGCACGCAACCAGTCGATCAAATAACCCTTTGTAAAGGGAGACAAACGGCCTGCGGATCTTCAGCTTAGGAGGCTTATAAAGTATGGCACCGATCTTGTGACTGTCGCGACTGTCCGCGGACTGAGTGAGTGATATGAGTGCTCGCAATGAACTATCCTAATTATTTCTAATAAAAAACAAGGAATAGCACAAATTTCTGAGTAATCTAATTGACAAAATAATTTTTGCTTTTAACAGCTTTTTTCACTGCTATGTAAGTTTTGTTAGTAGAAGAGAATAAATAAGATCGAAACGAATTATATAATATATGATTTATAAAAAAATCTTTAATTTTATATAAGAAATATGATATTAAAAATACATTGATTAATATATATTTTTTTTAATTAAGTATTTTTTATGAATTAAGAAATAGATATTTTATGGGTGATATCATTTTGATGTCACCGAATCATATTTTGCACCATGAAAGCAACTATTTGCGTAGTACGTTCGGTATCTTCCCCCGAAAGCTAATTTTGGTTTCAGCTGCAATATTGCGTCTTGATACGCTTCGCGTAGTATTTCATATCTTTTAATTGACATCAATATTTTCCGAAGGGAATTAATTTTATTCTACTGAATCAGCTTTTGCAAATGTTTTAGTTGAAAAGAAATGAAACAGATTTCTATATGAATTTATATGCACATGAAAAATATATAATAAAAACATGAAATACAATACACAATAAAATATGTGTATATAAAATAATGAAAGATGATCCTTTCAATGATATACAATTACGATTGATGGCAGATTAAGAAAATTGATAATTTCTGTAAGAATTATTTTTTATAAGCTATGTTGATAACTAATGATTGTTTTCTTTCATAATTTATTTTTATATTTAATGTCGTTACCATAATCAGTAAAAACTAATTGAAATGTAACTTGATCTACAACAAAATATAATTAAGCTTAATGTTGCCGTAATTAGCCTAACGTGAATTCATTATACACAGACTTCTTATGATGAGAATTTTGCAATAATCTTGTCTTAGTTATATAATAAATTCTTTACACGCATCGCGCTTTGGCTTAAGACCAGAATCGAAATACGTAGATTCTATCGTAATGAGGTGTAACGTACACCATCTCCCGATTTCGAAAATTCCTGCGTTCCTCTTTCCTGTGAAGATTTCGCAAGAATTTTATTAGCGCCCATAAAAAAATGAAAAAAAAGCTTTTTTAAATGCTTGGCGCCGTTCCAGCACTGAAATATCTTATGCGATATCATGTGATATTACGATCCATTGTCACCAGAGACATGTCTTTATCACATCATAACCCAGTCACATTTTTATTCGCACAGCAATTCTCCAAAATCTTTTATTTTTACATAAAAATTTTTTATATAAAAATAAATGAAATATCAATAAGAGGTATCGATTTAATATTGCATATTTTGAAACATAATTAAAATAATTATCAATTATGTATAATAATAGTATAGATTATTGTTCTTCTCTTTATTTAAGTATTACAATGATCTACAATCTAAGATGTAAAGAGAAAAATATTTAATAATGTTAATAACTATCTCAATTTTCATAACGTTTCAGGCATCCGAAGAGTATCGGGAACATAGCACGCACAAAACTCAACGAGCTCGTAAGTCACGACAGAGACAAAATCAACACGTCGTTGAGCAGCGTAGTACAACCCTACAGGAGAGTTCTACTGTCACCACAAAGCGCAGCAGTCAGCAGGAACTATCGAAAAAGAATTTCAACGTTATCCGGTTGAATTCCATCCCACTACCTCTTCTGAGCGGTGGCACAGTTATTTGTAAGTATATCTGAAAAAATATCTTTAATATATCTCAACATTTTTTTCGTCAAAATAATTGAAATAAGAAAAATAATTTTTATTTGGAAAATAATACGATTTTTCAATTATTGAGAATTTTGCAGTAGCATATACATTGCATGCAAGCATAAGAATAAGTATTTCTTAATTATATGTGTATGTATGCTACTTAATTATCTACTCTACTTAATTATTTTATACTTTGATATACATGCAATCATATAAATAAAAAATATCGATTTTTAAATGCATACGATTGGTTGGATACTGAAAACCACACAGTGATAACTATTGACGATTTATTAATTAGTTTATATTTTATAAAATTGAAATAATAATAATGATATATTTCATTCATAATATAGATGAAAAGTAAAATATTTATTTAGAAAGAAAAGAAAAAATTTATAATTATAATCTCAGCGCAATACTGAGAATAACGTGGATGCACCGTACGACTTATTGTCGACTTGTACTACTGCGACAAAGAAATATTAGATATTTAAAAACACAAGATATTTAAAAACATAACTATAGTAAAATAATAAATTATTGTATAAAATTATATAAGTTGAAATTGCTGTCAATGTATGACAAGCAAACTTTGCAAGTCTGTCCGATTTATTATTAGCTCGTACTACTCGTAAGAGTGACGGCGCTTTTATTCGTCGAAATTACAGGTAATTCTTTAATGCTTCCTTCTTTCGTGAAAAGTTTCTCTAAAACTTTTTGTAAAAAGATCTTATTATTAGCAGAATAAAAATTTTTAATTGATTTAAAAGATTTATTTTTTTCATTAATTTTTTTAAAATAAAATTTTTTGATAAACTTGTTTCGCATCGAACTTTAATATCGATCAACGTAATATTGACATGATACACATTTCCATAGTTATTAATTTATGTTCTATTATTAGTTTAATGACAATAACTAAACGCAACGTCGTCGTGAAACCGACCTATTTAATGCGCAGAATAAATCTCGAATTTTACTGCGCAACATATATACTGAGCATGGTTGCTTTCAAGATTTTATGACGTTTTTTTGTTTTATGCGAAAAATTCGGCGCTCTCAAATGTTTCCGGAAACCCTTTTCCTTCTTTCCGCAATACGATTAAAAATAAATCACCTTTAAACTTATTTAATGATCATTATAACGAAAGAATTATCATTATTCATGCCTATAAGCGGAGAAATTAAACTTGACTGGATTTCACATGTATTTTGATAGTTTGTCAGTAAGACTGATTAACGATCGACGTAACATATATTACACGATGTGACATACATTTCGGGATTAATAAAGTTTAAAAACTTTAGGATGATAAAAATCAGTAGAACAACACAATGATTTTATAAAAACAAAATTAATATTAATATTAATTAATATTAACCTATAATAATAATTAATAATTAATATTAATATTAATTAGTTGGATTTTTAATTTTATTATTAATAGATATAATATAGATTATATAATATATTATGAAGATATATAGATTAATATATAATATTATGGAGATTAATAATGTTTTTAGTATTTGGATTAAATGTCAGAGGAAGTAAAATGAAATAAGCCTCTGCTGTTAAATAACATTGTATAAGATAATCAAATTTTCTCCCGACACGACGATTGACGCTAATAAATAAGGAGGCTACGAGTAATGTGATTCAATTATACGTAATGCTCCGCGATTGACCAACACGCGTTAAGAGAGCCTGAAGTGACAGACACGACGGACACATTATCGCGTTTTATCCACCACCTCGCCAAAAATATGGCGAGCTGGACAGGCCGGCTGGTACGTGGAAGAAGAGTAACGTATATTGCGCGGATAAGCGCGACATACTGTCCGCGATATTAATATTGGGTGATTAAGTAGCTCCGGATGCACGATACTCGTGGTTGGTCCAAAGCCGAGTCTCGAGATTTCACGTCGAGTCGAGGACGGTGACGGGTCCAAAAAAATCGCCCAATACCATTTCGAGACTCTTTCCTCATCCTCCGAATCGGATTCGTCATCCTCTCGCGTTCGCGTGCGAAGATCAACTGGAACTCCGATTTTCCGGTCGACGAACCCGTGAGATTCCATCCCGGACGCGTTTTATCTTGCCAAGAGAGAGTTTATCTTGTTGCTCGAATCTCGATCAAATTTCTCACTTGAAATA